ACTTATCTCGGTTTTTTTTCTACTATCACCAAACCTTTAAGTGATATATTAAAAACTATTTGACACGTCCAATGCACATATACCATAAAAAAATTTATTTGAAGTACAAAAATATTAAATAATATTTAAAAATAATTTGTTTCCTATTATTCTATTGCATAATTTCTTATAAAATTTAATTATATAAAATTTGAATTTTAAAAATCTATTTAATATTTAAAAAGAAAAAAATTTTAAATACTAATTATGCGTAAAAATGGTACGTCATGCCATATAGATAACACAATTTGTTGCTTTATATTCACCTTTTTACATTTCAAACTGCTTCTTTGGTGGTTGACAGTAGAATACGAGTACTCGGTACTCAGCAGACATGCTGCTCCCAGACTTTCTCTGATTGTCCGTTTAGACCCAGACAAACAGAAGTGCACTTTACATAATTTATAGGTTGTCACAAAGTGACTTTGAAATAAATTGCGCATTTATTTACAATTTTAATGCAAAAACACAACAGAAATAATTTTTAAGTTCCTGTTTATCTTTATTGCAAGCCAGGTAAATTTAGTTTTTATATATATAACATTTCTATTTCTATTTCTATTATAGACAACGTGATCAGACGTAACTATACTATAAAATATAAGGCAATGAATCAAATACGATAAAACGTGTTCACGATAACAATTTTTGCCAAAACTAAACTGAATAGATTCGAATAATTTAACGCTAATGTGATTTTTCGCATTTACAAAAAAAAAATAAACTAAACTAAATCTAATTTCTGGCAGTTATCCAAACAGTAGCGGACTCAGAGAAAACTTTTTTGTTGGATATATATAAATCTGATATACTCATAAAGAACTTAATGATGACTGTGTGAAAAATGTGAAGTGCAATTCTCTTATTAAACAAATTGTTCATATAAATATTATTAAAACCAATAGCCGTATATATAAATATTTTATTATTTTTTTATAATATTTAATTATTTTTGATAACTCAGAAATCAAAACTCTATAATGGTATTCAATTATACAACCTTGATCTTTATCTCTATAGGCAGTTTAGCAGCAATAAAAGCAATTGAATTAGAACTGTAAAATCTACTGTAATGAATTATCACACCTTGCTATTAATCATCGAATATCACAAAATCCTTCGTTATTAGGTACTTGAATATAGGAATATTGAAGAGAACAATGTAACAGATAAAATATCTAAAATAGGCTCCGAAAATCACATAACCCCCATGTATAAACTGTTTAGAAATATCTAAGAAATCAATATTGCAACAACAAATGACCTATGGACTAATCGTGAATAGTATCAGATCGCAGAGGCCTGAAAGAGGTTTGAGCAAACCAGCAGTTCGTTTAAAAAAATCACATTATCATTTTTTTAACATTATTTATATATATATATATATATATATATATTATAAAAATATAATATATATATATTATATATATATATATTATATATATATATATATATATATATAATATATAATAGATAATATTTATATAATACATATTAAATATTATATATATAATATATAATGTTCATCGACTAAAATGCAGAATACGTGTCTAAAACATACACTTCTTAATAAACAAAACTTAAGGATCTATATATATACCATATATATATTTTAATTTTTTGAACTGTCCGATTGGTGTCCCTAAAATATTTTAAGTCATTTTCTCATGATTGTTCACACATGTGGCAACACTTTTCTAACTAAATTCATGCTTCCAAGTTTTTTATTAAGAAGTCCATTTTGTTAGACATGTCGTCTACATTTTAGCCGAGGAATATATTTTATTTTGATATAACAGTTTTCTTATATTCCATTTTATTCTATTTTTTTTTTTATTTTGTTATATATTTTTTTATTCTTATATTTTTTATTTTATATTTGGGGAAGCCTCACAACCTCGCTACTGTTTTTTGCACCCATGCCAATAATAAAAAAATGTATTTTATTTACGAATTCTTGCTTGATGTGCACTTGGCACAGATAAAAAAAATTATTTACGTTTAAAATTTTCGCTGTTAAACTAATTGTTCCGTAGTACTTAATTCATTTCTAGTCTATTTCCGTTTTTATTTAAAATTATTTTTGTCGGCTTCTTTCATTTCAGATATACACGCTAATTTAAGCCACTAAATTGACTTGTCATTCTTCTTCTCTTTTCATTGTTATTAAATTTTTACCAATTTTTCTTATTAAATATTAGCGAAAAAAAATTTGCAAATATTTCACAATTTATTTAAGCACTTCTGGCACTTAAACAGAGAATTAACCTGATGTCACCAATCTTTTCCAGGATGTTATATAGAGCTATCGATAGCTTTTACAGCTGTTCTATAATATTCTAGGATGAATGTACCTAATAAATATTATTACAGGACTAAATATAGAGCTTTTTTATCGAAAGCTTTTACAGCTGTTCGATAATTTTGAAGGATGCAAAATAATCAAAAACCCATTTATATATTTATTAGTATAGTATTCTTTAAACTATTTAATGAGATATGACGACATTCAAAACTAGGTCAAAACACAATTTATTTTAAAAAAGAAAAAAAATAAAACAAAAAATATCCAAAGACTGTGACGTTTAAGGTGACCAGATGTTTATAAAAGAGGGAAGACTTAAATAATGTCCTACATCCTTTATTTTTGCACACTACACTATGCTTCTAATCCCAGATTATAGTTTTTTGTATTTTAGAGGCACAAGTGACTGCTCAGTACGTAACAATATTAAAGCATACAGCCAATGTATGTCTTTTGAGAACCTTATTATGATGCAAGCATGATCTCGAATCTACCGCCTCGATTGGAGAGATTAGCCCTCCTGAAGTTATTGATAACTCTGCTGCTATAAAAGTCATTAGTCATTATACGAAGAAAAGATTTCAACTGTTGCAATTTAGACATAGACCTTTGCTGGTTATGATGCCATTAAAATGTACCGCTTAGTACCAGTAGTGGTACTAACTCCTTTCTGTGAAGATAGTAATTACCACAACTGTAGTTATTAATTCCAACATAATCTACAAAGAATAATGTATTCATTCTATAATGTAATTATTATCAAAGTTGATCTATGTTGCTTCAGTAATATGACTGACATACTTGAGAGGAGTAACTTAAACAAGCAATACATATATCTGCATATGAACGTAGGTTTAATGATCTCAGATATTATAGAGCAGGGAAAAACAAGATCAAATAAAAATTTAGTAACTGGACTATGCATTTTAAACAGGAAGCAGTGCCGTATTAAATGGAGGTAAAAGGTGTTTTGGAATTAGATACCTCTAACAATACAATCTACAGCTTTTGTAGTATATGTTTCTTTAGTACAATTTTAGCTACTGTACTGACTGCAAATAAATGATGTAATGTTTAAGCTATCATAATTGTAGTTAGTAACTAACTTTATCCAATGATATCAAGTAAAATGATTCAAAAATTAATTTAAGTCTTATCCCTCTGAGCGTGCTTTTTTGACGCGATGTATATTCTCTAGAACTACAGCGCACAGGGTCTAGGTGCAAGTCGCACTGAAATTTGGTCTGCAAACACAGAAATACAGTTTCAGACCCCTTCTCAATTGACAAGAATATCAACCACAGAATCCACTTAGAGATTAACTTATTCTAACTTGACTAACTTATTCCTTGATGTTAAAAAAATATTTGCTTAGAAAAAAAATATATATCAGATAAGTAAATATTTATAAATAAGTATTTATGTAGCTGTAAAGAATCGTTATATCAGAATGTGTTTATTTCATTAAGGATTATAATAATGCGAAAACATTTTGGAAATGAAAAGTCTCTCCAAAGAAAGCCTGTTTTAGTCCATATACCAAAATTTTGACGACAGTCTGTTTGACAGTACCGTCGTTTGATAGTATACTTATGAACCTTTGTTGTGTACCATTAAACCTTTCTTTATTAGTTTAAATATATCTGTTGCCTACATATCCAATTGACTATCGAACCGTTGAGTTCAAAACATTTGAAACCTCTTTTATTTTGATTTAGGAATTGTAGAAGACTAACAGATAAGGTCGATAAAAGGGTTTAAACCCTTTTTTCTCAGAAAGCTTTCAGACTTCTTTAGCTTATTTTGTGGGTTATTATTTAAAATTTTTAAAATCCTAAATTATAATTATAAATAGCTTCTGATATTTGTATTGTTGTTTCTAGGGTCTGTTACAACCAGAAAATATTGCATATATTAACAGGGAAAATACGCTAAATTTAATTAATTAAAATATATATATTTTTCTTTTTAAAAAAAATAATCGATTTAATTTTCTAGTTTCGCTTAATTCTAAATATTAAAACCACTTTCATTCAAATAGGTCATTTAGCCATTTTTAATAAGTACTATACATTTTATGTAATTATAAGTACTACTTTAAAAAAATATTTTCCATTTCTTATATTTATATTTTGCGTCATTAATAGTATAACAATAAAATGTTAAAACATATTTGGAAGAAAAGAATGTTAATTAAATTCAATTTAAAAAAAAACATAAATTACTCATAAATTTTTGTCACACTGTACAGTCGCCATCAAAAACTTTCAACATACAACACAACTGCTGACGTCATAAGAATTCTTGCAACATGTGCGTGGTGAGAAATGAAAGCTTTTACAACTCATATAAATATTGATTAACAAAAAAATATGAAACAAAAAGTAAGTGAAGAAAAATACAAAAAAGTAAAAGCCAGCAACAACAAAGCAAAGCAGCACAAAGCAGCTAACAAGGAAATGTTGGCAAAATAAAGAAAATCGACAACTCATTTTAAAGAAACTTATTAAGCGCAAAAAAAGGCCTAAGGCTGTTAAAAATATTTACACGTATAAAAACAAATAAAAGAAACCTTTGATAAAATGTCAAAGGTCAAAATCGAACACATGATAAATAAAACTATTTTTTTTTTTCAAAATTAAAAGAAAATATTTACACTTTTGTTGTGGTCATCAAGCAGCAAGTTGGACGTTGGCGTAGCAGCAGGCGTTGCTGCTTGCGTAGCAGCTGCGTTCGAGTCCAAAACGGTTAAAAGCACAGGAACTGACATGTTGAAACTGCTTTCGTTGAAAACTTTCAGAACAAAATTAACGTTATAATTTTTTTTTTTTGTAATCGCAGCACACGCACTTTTGTCAAATTTGAACAAAAATGTTTTTTTTTCTATTTATCACAGTATTTATAATTTATTGAAAAAATATCAAAACGGAAATTGAAGGCATTAAGCAATTTTTTCAGTTACTTTTTTGCATTATTAATGTTTCATTTGTTTCTCCTTTTAATTCAGAAATATTTTTCACATTATTTGCTGGCAGTTCGAGAAACAAAATCTGCTTCTTTGTAATTTTGACTGAGTAAAAATTTTTTATCCAAAAATTAAAATGAAAATTCAAAATTAAATTTGAAAGTAAATTTTTCTTAACTGTTTTCACTTGCTTGGATTTTACGTCTGCTTCACCACAACTTCCAAAACATTTTGCGCGATTCAATCAATGTTTTGCAATTTTAACGTATTTCTTCTTGTACGGACGACATATGCGAAAAATAAAGCTTTTTTTCTTTACTTTTTGTCTCTTTGTCTACGTCACAACTCTTGAAAGTACACTGAAAAAAATCTAACTTCCAAAAATGTATACTTCTTACTATTGCAGTCAGTGACTTCTAACAATAAATACTTTTGATCTTTTATTTGCAAAAATTCACTTTGTTATGTTGCTTTGCTGTCGATAGAACAGCTTTTTATAGCAAATGCAGGCCGAATGTGTAGTTGTGAGCAGCTTTTCTCTTATTTTCATATGCCGCAATAAATTTTATAGAATCATTTTGTTTACTATTTTATTTATTGTTATTTCTTGTGTACTGCTTGTGTATTTCTTAGAAATTCTCAACACACCACTACGTTGTTACACACACACACACAAACATACAAAATGTTTTTGCGTGATAGGCGAGCATTCATTTCGAATTGTAAACAAAAAGCAGCAAAAACAAAGTGGAAAACAATTCCAAAACAAAAACACAAGCACAAAGTCAATGCGTGCCATGTGTTGGAAACTGTACGACAACAACAATACAAAACCAATCACACATGTAACAACAAAATCAAGCTTTTTTTGTACAGTGGAGTGCGAGCTCACGTGAGCAACGCCAATGCTACACAACACAACACAATAAAACGAAACAAAACTGAAATTTATGTTAGTCAAACATGCTGCCACACACCTCTTCCTCTTTTGTGTTTGCTTTATTTTTGCTCTTTGACGTGAACTGGTTTCAAGCAGTGAAAACACAAAAATAAAATATGAGAGATAAAATTAATAATAAATTAATAAAATATATTCGTTTGAGAGAGCAAAAATTATTATTTCCCAGAGAATATCTTATTTGATTATTTCCACATCTGGATTTGTAAAAAAGGGGTGTGTCCATTGCTTTATATGTTTGAGAAATTTAAGTAGTGACAGATAAAAAATTTATTTTAATTTTTCGTTATCTATTTTACTTTTATTTAATAGTAGTGTTATTCGTATACAAATATTCAAATTATTTAATGTCGAAATTGGATATATGATTAATAATGGGTGTATCTGGTCGCTTCGTAGAGTTGCAAAAAACAACAAGTCTCTTGCTAAAGTCTCTAATATGTACGCAAAACAACAACACTACTCTCCTATTTAAAATACTAGTTATGAAGTCTCTAATCACCTTATTTCCCCTTATTTTTACGTCGGCACAAATAATGAAATACGTAGTTTTCCATAAACTAGAACGGCTCAATTGATTTTTTCTGTTACAGAACAACTTAGAATCTGTTGTACTTAGGACGTGTGCGAGTTAGGATAAGTTGCGTTCTAAATGAAGGAAATTCTAAGTTGTGCCGATAATATAGTGATGTGTCAATACGTGTTGATAAATGGCTAAATGATGTGCAGTGCAAAAAATCCCAAAGTATCTCCCATTTGGTTTAGCATCAATTTATCCTAAATCGCACACGTCCTTAATTTACAAATCACTATCAATAAAACAATTAAAATAGGTTAAATTATAAATAATGACCCTCGTTTAAGCGGAATAACTTGATAAACTAAATAAAAAAATCATATCTGTTTTTATAACCAATGCCGACTAGAAGGGGGGCACATATAAGGCTAACGTAATTTTCAAGGAGGAATAGCATCGAAAAAGTGATGGGCAAATAAATACGTAGCCAAAGAACGTGTGAAAGGCTCAAGACCGATAGTTCCCGAAATTTATCGATGAACTTACTTATTATTTTCACACCGTAAGTATATAAAATGAAAAATGTTTTAAAATTACTGAAAGAATTTCATCAATAAATGCCTTCCAAAATACTACCTATAGCAAATTTTTAGATACGAGCTTGGAATTGGCTAAAATAAGAAGGAATATTAAGTCTAGGTCCAAATAAAGGAATCTTGTTCTTGAACAGAGGGAAGATGAAAACAGTTGGACAATATCATAAAAAGAAAGAAATAAGAAGTAATATTAAATCTAGATTCAATTCAAATGAAGAAACCTTAAGATAACAAAGGACGGAAGATGGAAACAGGTGGTCAACGTTAAAAGAAATAAAACGAAAGTTTGGGTGCAGATTGGGGAAAAACGTATTTATACATCACAACTGTTTACTAGGTTACTATATCGAAAGTTCTGTTGAGTCATGACAGCTCTAATTGAACGACAAGACTCTTTCATTTTCAGAGATTAACGGCAAGGGTTTCTTGAAAATTTTTTATTTGTGAAATAACCATGGACTCGAAAAGGCAGTATCCTACGCAGATGGAAAGAAAATGATAGATATCGATGTATAATTGATATGAAGATAGAGATAAACGTATGCAATGAAAAGGATTTTACAAACTCTGAAGCTTTTTAAATAATTATTTTTCTAACACAAAATATTTAAAAATTTTCTTTTAATTCAACGACGTTTTTTTTAGCTCACTGTAATTCATCTGACATCAGCCGAGAGATTCACTAGAGATGTTATTTCCGGCTAAGTAGGCACATGAGAGAAAAAATCGCCATTTGACAAACAAAAATCAAGTTCTACGAGAGTATTATCATGCCTTTCCCGCTGTATAATGCACAAACTTCGACAGAAACTAATAGTGAGAAGGCTTAAAAACATTCAAAAGAAAAATCCTTCGGAATATCTATGGTCCCTTACGCTTTGAAAACGAGAATCTAATCAGACAACATGACATGCAGCTTCAGTGCAAGAAACCAGGTGACCAACGATCTGAAGGTACATACTTGGTACTACCAACTGGCGAGAGCAGTTATGGAGGTTAGCTGATGGAGGTTACTGGATGCGGCCACGGACCACTCACGTTCGTAAGGGCCAAGTAAATATGTTAGTGATTATTTCCAAATATTTAATTTAAATTTTGAAATTTTAATTTTCAATATAAAACTTTTTACAGTGTATGCATCAAAAATATATTACAAGCCAGATTATATTATTGAAATATAATTAAAAGAAAATGAGAGATAATTTTTTCAATAAAAAGAGCAAAAAAATTTTTTGAGAGGTCAAGGTTCTAAACACAAAAACCTTTAACACACACACACATTTCGACTACTTAAGTGACAGTGCAATAAATCAAATACAAATAAAAATGCAAGCAAAAACAAATCACCAATGAAGTTTACATGCAAATAAAAAAGCTCTAATATATTTTTTTCCCAAACGTCATGCCTTTTTCGCAAGAGTATCAGTTCAAATTATTGCTATTTAATGTTTTGCTTCGCTTTGATTTATTTTTCTTCCAGTTTTACAATAAACATAAAATGAACTAGTTTTCTAATTAACGTTTTTTTTCTCTTCTTTGAATTTGCATTATAGTTTATTAATTTCTTTGTGTACACACACACACGCATACACACGAATGTAGCCAGATAAGCTTATGTGTGGTTCAAAGTACAACTTTTGGTGTTGTTTTTTTTTTGTTTTAATATTTTTGTGTTTGTTTTTATTTTTGTTTGATACAAAAGCGTTCGTTATGTGCTTAGTTTTTAATGAGGCAAGTTGTCATTTCCATCGTACGTGCTGTGGAAAGGGGGTGAAGACAGGTACAAAAGATTGCGAATTTCAAAAAAAAATAGTAAAATATATTATTTATTTATTTATATTTTAATTAATTGTTTTTAATATACAAATAAAGTCTATTTTATTCGTTAAAAATTTAAATATTATTTATTAATTAATAAGAAAAGTAGATTCCAAAATTAAATATTTTTAAAGAATGTAACGTTTCTCAATCTCAGATATTCTGTTATATACAAATGCTTAGTAAAAATTTTTTCAGAGCTGACTTAAGCCGGTTGATTTTGACTGCCTTTAACATATTTTATTTTGATTTTCCAGGTTTATACTGCCAATATTTTGACTATTAATTAGCCCAATACATACATATATGTATACGTATGCATGTATATTTGTAGTAGATCGTGCACTGACTGCTTGCGTGAAGCAAGTGGTTTATGGAGGTTAAGGAGAGTAAGGCTTACTCCATATTCAAAATGGATTCAGTTTAATATGACATCTTTTAGTATGTGACTCATGTTGAATTTTATTTTATTTTTTTTGGGGCTTTTTTTTCGAACAGTTGTAAACTACAACAACAAAAATTTATTTTATATTATCAAATAATTTCATTAATTTAAAAAAAAATTTTTCTTATGAAATAGTCATGATGTATTAACTCCTATAAATACGTGTATGTACATATATATATGTATATGTACGTAAATATAAATAAAAAAATAATCTATTTATATAGGCCCTGTGCGAGATCGAGTAAATTGAGGTAAAGTAAATTAAAATTTTATTGGAATTTTTTCCACTGCACTTACGTATTTATTTGTTTATTTTACTTATTTATTATTTTTGGTTAAAAGTTTTCAAATTGATTTATTTATTTATTAAACATCTTATAAAATTTTCACAATGGTAACATCTAATTTACCTAATTTTTATCCAATTTTTACCCTACTCGAAATTCTGATAAATACCAACATTCGCTGCTATACCGACATAATTTACTATTTCCCTCAATTTACCATTAATTTACTCAAACTTGCAATCGGTTATAATATCTTTTTAATTAATTTAAATAAAAAAAATATTTCTTTTTATATTAAAGGCCTTTTAATAATAAATAAAGTATTAATTTAAAAAAAGGTAGCTCTCTATAGATTGTGTGAATTACCTAAATTGTAAATTATCATAACTTAAGTCTTATTTATCAAAAAAATTGTAAAATGACACAAAATTATTTGACAGAATTCATATTAAGTTTTAATAGAAAACCAAAAAATAAGAAAAAATAATTTTAACAATAAATAAATTCATTTTATTATATTGCAAATGCTTTTTTATTTATTTTCATATTGTATTTATTGACGCATATCAAAACAAGCTCGTAAAAAGCAATAATTATTAAATTATCTTTTATGCACTTCTTAATGTTCATAAACAACTAAACAAAATATAAACAAAACAATAACAATGCACAGCATTGAATTGCTTTGCTTATTTCGCGCTCTCATTTCCACTTAATAATGTTTGTTTATACGTATTATTTTTTTGTTTTAATTGCCTTTCAATCAATCCTTCAATATTTTTATAAAAATATTTCTGTCTGCTGCACTCTGCCCGACAGTTGCGTGCTCTTTATTCAATA